ACTCCTTCACACATCAAATGTATATACCTAGGGTATGTTGCAGTAAATATTATCTTTAAACACAGTTTCTCAAGGTGGCGATATTATGGACCCTGGTGATATTATGGACACAGATGTTACCCATTATCTCCCATGTTGACGTCCTATGATGCCCCACAGAAAATTCTTAAAATTTAAAAAATCTGATCTGATATGTTATCATCAATCTTTAAATGTTTTTTTTTTAATTCTTCTTCATTTGACAGAACTTCGAGGCTTGGAATAACCTTGCTACATCCTACATCAGGTTGAACCAGAAGTGAGTCATCAAACATTTTCTCTATTTCGTTTTTTGATGTTTTCACTTAAGATGCTTATTTTACTTTTTATTCTATACACATGCTGTTTTGTGGTGGAATTTTGCTTGTAATGAGCTAATCACACCCTACGAAACTGATCCTTTTTCAGACAGAAGGCATTCCGTGCCCTTAAGGAGTCCCTAAGGTGCAACTTTGAGCACTGGAAGATCTGGGAAAACTACTTACTGGTCAGTATTACGTAACACACAGCAAGCAGTTCAAAATAGAATGTACATGAACATGTTACACAGAACAACTTACACATGTGATATCATAATGTTGGTTTAACTTACTAGGCTATTTCTTGGGAGGATTAGCATTGGGTTACCTGATGTAGTTCCAAATGGGTTACTTCCAGAGCCTTGTGATTCAGCATTGTATTAAAGCTCCTGACAATGCAGCCCTTGGCTGCAAAGTGTGAGTAACCAGCCTACCCAATGACAGTAACATGTTATGAAGCAAGTTTAAACTTTGAAACTTTATTAGAATAACCATTAGCGGTGGACCCTAGGGTCCACCGCTAGTCTTCCTGGTATTCATACATGTACATACAGACGATACATTATACAGACATAGTGGACAACTGGTCAAGTCACAACATATCTAAAACAATAACATATTTACAATATACATAATTTTAAAAAACTGACAATCCTGTCGAACAGTGCTCCTGACCTACTGATGGAGGCATTTGTGCAAACCCTCCTTAAAGACTCTCTGGGATTGTGTGGACTGCATAACAATTGGAAGGTTATTCCACACACTAACAGCCCTGTACATGAAACACTTCTTCCGTGCGTTGGTTCTAGGTTTATCTAACAGAAAAGACTGTTTAGCAGCAAAACGGGTTCTATAGCTATGCAAGTTGTTGACAGAACGCAGTTGCCTACTGATGCAAATAGGTTCGTTAGT